AGTGTTTAGCTCTTTTAGATTAATAGACAGTGCACCACTAAAGATAGCACTATATCACAAACAAGGTAAATGTCAGTGTTTAGCTCTATTAGGTTCATAGATAGTGCACCACTAAAGATAGCAATATATCAAAGACCAGGTATATATGAGTGTTTAGCTCTATTAAGTTCATAGATGTTGTATATAATGTATTGGGTTATTACAGATATGTGCTCAGGAAAATAATCTGATCGAAAAGAGTGAGTTTGGTATTAAAAAAAACAAAACATAAGTTTTACATGTACTTCTATTAGAGATGTGCCATATAGCAAATGTGTTATGAGGGTAGCAGTAACTACCATAAAGTAACAAAACAAACATGATATAATACACAGGAACAAAATAAAAACAGAAATAAAGACCATACCCTGTAAGAAAAGTGTTTTGTTTCAATTAAAACTTGTGTAGCTAAAAAGGATCGAATCTATCGAAAAATATATAAGCAAACACTCGATATAAAACCATCACTGCGAACAGAAACTGACGATATATATATACAGACAGTATTGGTCATACACCTACTAATATACAAAAAAAATTTCTTCCACTGATATGATTTCCATCAAAGAAATTCCCCACTCTCCTCCAGAATATTTTATTAAAATACTTTAAATAGATTATTTGCATTGTATCAACAAGTTTAATAGTTTGGTAGTCCAAAAAGATGTGTATACAGTCACTAGTTAAAACTCAACTAGCTTCCGAATGAATTTTTTAAGATATTGGGGGAATTAAACCATATGGCTGGGACAAAAGTACACAAAAGACATGCCATTTGGGCAAATGCAACAGAAATATTTTTTCTAAAATCCACCTTCACAAGATGTCGTCTAGTAAAGGAAGATAAATTCTGCTGAAATTACTGGCATATATTAAGTACACAATTACTTCATAGTTTTAATTTTAGTACTGGATTACAGTTTTACACATGATACGATGTAACTTTGTTCATGCAGATTTTTCAAAATATTTCATTCAGAGAATTTTTGTGTTAATAAATTAAGGGCAATTTCAGTGCTTAAAAACCTTTTGACCAGTCTTTCACTTTTTACAATTTATTACTATACACGGCTGAAATAAAATCAATGTCTATTGTTAAGCGTAAGATGAAATTTTAAAGAAAAAAAATTAAAATAAACGAATAAAATTGTCTTTGAAAATAACAATTATTGCCATAAAGCTTTTGAGAAATTGCAAAGTATGCCCTCTAGTGTTGAGAGTAGCTTTAGAGTAAAAACAGCGCCCTCAACCAGCAAATATATTTCCAAAGAGTTGTTTTGTTTTTCAACACAGACCAGCAATGTTAAGTAAAATAAAATGAACAAATTTTGTTATATATTCACTAAGCACCCTCTAGTGGTAGGGCCTCACACAATATACAAACATCTTTCTGAAATCTAATGGTTTCTCCATCTGAAAGCATTTTTAAGTTTAACAAAATATCACTTTTGTCCTTTATATACTACAAAATTTGCATAAAATTTGCAAGGTGAAACTGTTATCATTATTATACTCTACATTTACATTAAAATCACAACACATATCTCCGTGGAGTTTCACCATAACCCTAATCCGCTGCATTATGTACATTAATCTGTCACAATATTTTACTATTTACAAGAAAATGGCCAACAAATATTGTCAGTACTACTGCCAGTCATCACTTGTATACCCATGTTCACTGCCATGGCTGCTTGCTACAGAATTCCTTTTGACAGATGTTTTCATTGACGACAAAATAGATAACATATTCCCAGGATTCTCATCCGTTCTTACAGATGACCCGCTATTTCTGCGAGTCACCATGGTTCGTTCCATTTCAGTAATTGCATCGGAACGATTTGCCGACACAGGGGCTTTTTCACTGATTTCTTGCATGAGGTTGTTGCGCGACAATGGAGTTGGATTGCTTGGTGCTTGTTGCATTTGTTGAGAAGCCCCATGGCCATTCTGACCTCTGACTCGCTGAGCGTGCATCACACTTCTCAGATCAGATATGGTAACCATTTTATCAGCTCTGGGGACAGGAGGACTCTGGGAACCCTCTGACAAGTCTGAGCCGCTACTATGCGAGGTGTCGCTAGGCGACAACTCTGCACTGCTTGGACGGGCTACATTTGTGTTTATATACAATGCACTCATGGCAGACTCTGTAGCATGACTAAACTTATTATGTTCTTTCAGCAACGCTTTAAAATCTTCCATCCTTGTTTGTGGTTTTCCTGAGATAAGGTTCACTTTGACCGGCATGTTATCAACATATGCTATATCAGAGAATGTTATGCTTCTGGTTGTGCTCACAGAGCAGGAGGAATTCAAAGAACTGTTTGAACCCCATTGTCCCGACGCCCCAAGCGACATTCTAGGAAATGTACCTGAATCAGATTTCACTTTCATCTTACGCTTTGAGGCATGAATTTTCGAAAACAAGTCGTTTGAATTTTTTCTCTCACTAGATTGCCGTTTAAGAATTGATTTTGGTTGAGAATTAAATCTGCTTTTCATCGGATCTTTCAGAATGGATACAGGTTCTTCTTGAATAGGACTGACAGCATTCCCCACTGAATAGGCATGTGTGAGGTCAACATAAGCTTTGCGAGAAGGATGTCTGCCTGGAGCACCATTTTGAGTTGTCATAATTGGCGGTGTTGTGTTGTCTTCAACCATTGTCAACAACTGCACATTACGAGATGAAACCGAAGCCTGTACTGATGGCTCATCGGTGAAACTACTATATGATGAGGGAAACACAGAGTCTGTAGTATCAGAGTATTCCTTTTGAAGAGTACTGCTAGTTCTAGGAATCCATGGCATAAAATAGACAGACTTGTCCTCAAAATCACCGCTGTTTCTGTCACCTGGAATGCCAATGTTTGCAGTATTCTTTGTAGGTGTTCTGATCGGCTGGTTAATTTGTCCATCAGACTCGGGTGGTGAAATTACTCTGGTTATACTTTTTGGTTCATCTGGAGTACGCGTCCTCCGCAAACTTCCATAGATGTCAAGCGAGTTGCGTTTTTTTGAATTGTTAGTTCTTGAGTAAGGCCACGTTGTTGTGGATATATCTAAGGATTGTGGTCGCTGCTTCTTTCCCTTGTCCACAGCTTTTTCTTTCTTATCAGCACTGCTCCTCAAATTACTAAAAAAAGAGAGTTTGGCGGCTTTGTAACTTTCAGGATATACACTAAGGCCATTGCTATTTTCAGAGTGATTTTTATTCTCACAATTATCTGGTGACTCCATGTCCGCTGCCTGCTTTGTTGAGATGAAAGTACTACAGGAGTTGTTTTCATTGGGATCTTCAAGTGCATATGTGGACACACTGGCGACATCATCCATGCTGATATTTGATGTATTACTGTCTTGGATCCATGAAAAACTGTTGGAATCAGAATTGTTTGGAGTTGTCAGACTTGGAGTGACAACAGACGTGGTATTTAATGCATTCATTGGTGAGGCACTTGTATTTGTAATGTTTTGCGAGTGTGGCCGCGTTGTTTTCATATTGCTTAATGAGGTAGTAGTCTTAGCAGTCGATTTCTCGATATCACTGCTTTGATCTGCTGACTCTTCAAAGCCAAAAAATGCAGCACGTGCGGATTTCATTTTGTCACGAGAATAGCTTTTCATTGGCGGACTCTCGATATTATTATTTTGTTGTAGGGAAATGTTCTGAATCTTATGCTCCAGGACGTTGTTGGAGAAAACAGATGTTGGTGGGTGTTCAGAGGTTGGTGTATTCTCCCCGTCATCTGGCACATCACTGGTATTGCCCCCTCCCTCAGTGCTATTGGATGTTGACATCACTTTCTCACTGAAGGAGCTGTCAGCGGATGAAGTTCCTTGGAAACACAGCGTATACAATCCAGAATGCATTGGTGATGACACATCTGCTGTGTCAGATTCACACTCTGAAGATAGCGTGGAATTCAATGTTGAGTTGGAACCTTTAGTTACACCACTTGGTAAGTTATCTCGAGAATGGGCTGAAAAGAACAATAATGTATATTACTAAAATAATACTAATAATTCCTTCAGCATTGCACTGTAAGCCATAGGACCTTTGTGCCAAAATACTCTTTACACAGTAAAAAAGTTTATTGTGAACAAACAAATAGAAACAACATGTACAACGCATGCAATGAAAAAGTTTATGAAGTACTTATTTCAGCTTTCGTCTTAAAGGCTCAACAAAAATTACCTAAATTCGTAATATCTTTGAGAGATTGTGATACATGTATCAGTTTTTGTTGAGTGGGGAATTTGTGATAGATCAATATGTGACCTGTGTGAATGTATTTCATACTGGAAACGTACTGTAGTTTATTTTTTGGCATCTTTCCATTATTTTACATCAATTTTGACCAAGACATGTAGACAATGGACAATTAAGTCCATTTGGTCCAAAATTAAAAAAAAATGTTTTAAATGTTGCACCAAATTCAAGTTTCATCAAAATCTAATGAATGGCTCTCGAGATATCAGTGGAACAGTCATAGAACAGCTAAAATTTGCTAATTATCATGTAAATCAGGTAATTAATATGCATGGATTTCAAACAAAATCTAATCAAATCTGCACATTAGCCCAAAGCATCTACACACCAAGTTTCATTAAAAACAGACATACGGTTCTTGAGATATCAGTGGAACAGACAGACACACATATACACATACACATACACACACACATACAGACAGGGTAACTGCAAAGACTCCCATTGTGTTCGCACACAGGAGTAAAAAAATGTGGGTATTCAAAAGGTTAATAGATGAAATATGCGAGTAATGTTTTTCACAGGATTGAGATGACACTTACCATTATTACCTATTTCTGGTGATGAAAAGTTTGGAGATGAAGAGGATGAGGACATCATCATTTTCTTATCAGGAGAGAAACTATCTCGTCTTACAGGTGGAGGCGGAGCTGTTGACTTGTTACCAACTTTCACCTGAGCTTTATAGTCTTTTATACCGCAGTCCAATCGCATAGACGTGTAATATCCATCTGTGTCTACTGAGTAGACGGATGAATCAGATTCGTGATATTCTGGTGCGTTACTACCGAGATAATACTCTAAGTCTATGCTACTGACATCGCTGCTGGCACCATCAGTTGTTACACTGTCTGTTAAGTCTGAAGCGTTATCTGTAAGGCTATCAGTAACGCTACCACCTGTCAGGGTGTCTGCCATACTTTCTGCCACACTATTTGTCAAGGTGTCTGTTGTACTTTCTGTTATGCTATTAGTCAGTGTGCATGAACTAGTCATGCTATCAGTCACAGACGTTACTGATTCGTCGTCCATCATAGGAAAGTCGTATAACTTTTTGTTCTGAGTGTTTTCCTTGGCGACCATTTGGAGCCATGTTTCCGTATCAATGGCCGTAAAGCTACTTTTCACAGGGGAGAATTCACTGGTGGGTGTATTAAGAACAGACGATGTGGGTGTGTTATCAGCTGTGTCATTATTAAGTGTACTATCAGAATCTGATCGCACAATTTCTGTAGACCGTGAAGATGTTGTTTGAACATCGGAATCAGTTGTTTGGGCATCTGAATCTAAAGATACCGCCGAATCAGACGGTGAGTTTGATGATGTTCTTGCAATTTCCAGTAACTGCTCTGAGTTGATCGAGTTCCTGGTGCTGTCAGTGCCACTCCAGTTCCCGGAACTGGAGCGCCTCTCCTCTTTACTCATAGAGGGCTTTGTAGTCCTTAGCTTGACAGCCGTAATAAATTCCCCAGATAATGCTGCGGTAACCGCATCAATTTTGTCAGAAGAATCCTTTTCTCTATCAACTGGCTCAACATTATCATTTTTCGGAGTTTGAACATCGTCAGGTTCATGTGTTATTGGAGTAAACTCCAAAGAACGTGGTCTTCGTCGGGCTGATGAAGCAACCCATTGTTTATCTAGCGCACTTTCTGAAGATGCTGAAATGACAAAAACATTGATTTATTAAAAACTCAAACAGAAACCTAAATATACTTACCATAAACAGGGTCACCACATGAACACATAATTAGACAAAATAAATATTCTTGCTGTAATTGATTCAAAAAAGAATATTTTAAATAACTTTCATAAAATGAACAAAAAGCAAGAATGAAAATACAGTAAAGCTATAAAAAACTTGTTGCTATGTTGGAAGTTTGAAGGTACATGTATAATATTAAAATAAACCATTCAAATTAATTTTTCACATTGTTGTGTGTAATAGGTTTGACAGTGTTGTGAATTTATTTCATTGACACCTCTCTAAGTTGCGCCTCAGTAAGTCGTGATTTTGGCTAAGTCGCAGGTAGTTAAAATCCTATTTTTAAATGCGAGTCCACTATTTGTGGGTGGTTAAAAATAAAGAAAAGCTGAGAATTTTTTTTTTCAAAGTTGACCAAAAGACTGAACAGAAAATGTGCAAAACTCCATAAAGCTGTGATGTTTTTCAATAAAGCAAACGTACTATAAATAAACCCATGTGTGCTTTTCAGTCATTTTCAATGCTTGACCCCCCCCCCCTTTCATGAGCCCCTCGGTAAGCTACAACCCCCGATATGTCATGGTTATTCCTTGGATCTCAACACCCGCAACTTAGAAAGGGGTCACTGTATAATATATTAATGCTTAATTTGTTTTTATAACAATATTTTTGTAACATAATTTTAATTTAAATGAGAGAATACCTTGTAGCATTTTATCCAAGGAATCTGTACATATTATAATTACAGACAAAATTACCCCTATTACCATCATGTGAGTATGCAAACATTCATTGGAAAAGTGACGCAGGATGTCAAGTATAAACCCATAACTTCCAACATAACAAAATATCCACCAAATACGTTACGCACAGAAAACTAAAATGCGCCGAGAGCATGTAATGACATTATCATTATTATTATTAATATTATTATTATAACTATAATTATTATCAATGTAACAGCCTAGGATGCATTATTGATATAGCAAAGCATGCTTGAAAAATATTAATTGACGTTTGCAAGACAACTATCAGAATGAGGTTACTTAATCAGCGCACTAGGTACTGCTAAGGTTAACTACTAACCTGGCGTAGCTAGTGATGAGGAAGTAACGCTATTGCTTCTAACTACAACATTTCTCCAGAACACGTCATCAGCCATGGCGGTGGTGATTGGTGCGTCAGCGTAATGCAATGGACTGTGCGAAACATTACCTGGACCATGCGAGGTTGCAAGTGTTAATTCAGAGTTCATACTTGGCAGTGAGTCGTTAATAGTTCTATCGTCTATGGATATTCGTGACACATCAGGTAAGCTAATTGGTGCAGCAGCATATGCTGAATGAATGCGGCGTCTGTCAATACTGCCATAAAAAGCAGCACGACGAAATGGATAGTCTGATTGGTCGGTGAAGCTGGATGTGGAAGAATCCAGACCCAGACGATCCCAAGACATATTAAGTTTCATCATGTCCGAAAATCCAGAAATTGTACACCGACGTTTGCGGTAGCTTCTGCGATTTTTCCCCCTGCGTAGGTATTTCACATCCGATAACTGAAGCGATCGTCGAAAGCTAACCATGCGATCAAAACCAGTACCTGTAGTGTCTATTGATATAACCGAGGACGGCATAACATTTCGCCTTATAACCTCTTCTGGTGTTGGTAGCGGGCTTTTCGCACGCCTTCGCAACTGCTCTTCCAGTAGGTCTCCATCAGAATGAGGTCTCCCTGCTTTAGGTGTTCCAGCAAATCTTCCAGCTCTCTGTTTAGGTGGAGGTATCCGAGCAGTAGGCTGCAAAAATTACAAAATATTTAGTATTAATAAACAAACATAAAAAATATGAACAAAAATCCCCTTTCCAGTAACTCATATTAATGATTACATAGACCATACTAAAAATAGTAATTAATATAGTATATTAATTAGCTAGTAAATATTACAGTGACGTAATGAGAAGTGGTACTGAAAATAAGGTCCATAACGAAAGATCAAGACATTCCCTTCCCACACAGTGCTACAATTGTGAACAAAGATTTAAATTTACATAAATTTGAGAGTTGTAAAACTAATCTAACATTAAACTCTAAAGAAACTGTTGATAATGATTGATTAAACAGGAGCAAGGTACTCCTGGATAAAAGGGGAGGTAGACAGAAAAGGGCATTGATTTTGTCAAAATTTCAGTTAAATTATTCAACTCCCTGTGGTAATGTCCAAATAAAATTAAATTGATACACTTATCAATTGGCATAAGGAAGTATGGCTT